AGAACAGCCCCGGCTAGCAACCAGCAGGCACAGAACAGCCCAGCCTAGCAACCAGCAGGCAAGAACAGCCCCGGCTAGCATCCAGCAGGCACAGAGCAGCCCGGCTTAGCAACCAGCAGGCACAGAACAGCCCCGGCTAGCATCCGGCAGGCACAGAACAGCCCGGCTTAGCAACCAGCAGGCAAAGAACAGCCCCGGCTAGCATCCGGCAGGCAAGAACAGCCCCGGCTAGCATCCGGCAGGCAAGAACAGCCCCGGCTAGCATCCGGCGGGCACAGAACAGTCCCGGCTAGCAACCGGCAGGCACAGAACAGTCCCGGCTAGCAACCAGCAGGAAAGAACAACCTAGCCTAGCAACCAGCAAGTAAGAACAGCCCCGGCTAGGAACCAGCAGGTAAGAACAGCCCCGGCTAGGAACCAGCAGGCACAGAACAGCCCAGCCTAGCAACCAGCAGGCAGGAACAGCCCTGGCTAGCAACCAGCAGGCAAGCCCTTGCCCCTGCATGTGGCCCGCCAGCCCTGGCTGGGTAACCGGGTCCTCAGCCAACTGTCACGGCGTTCCCTCTCAGTGGTGCACTGTGTGCCTGATGTGGCTCTGGTGAGGAATTAAGAGATCCCTCGACAGGCAGGATTTACGGGGGTGTGGGGGGACGTGCTGGCACGCACTGCTGCAAACCGTCCCTTATCAGAGGCAAATGCGGGGCCAAGCACGGGGGTCCGAGGAACATGAGAGAGCTCACCTTCGCCGCACACCTGCCAGGTGTGCCCTAGTAGACCGTCAGCTCCTTCTCTTCGTGACGTCGTACATGTCATTGTATTATTTCAGCTTAATAAAAGTTTATATCCATTTTAGACCTCAGGCTTCATGGGGCCAAGGGTAAACTTTCTTCTGACATTTGTTGCTACGTCCACAGTTCCTAGTACAAAATAGGGCTCTGCAAATATTTACTGAATAAACTAATTTGCGAAACTTATCCCATCCTGTTTACTGAAGGAGCCAGATAGTGCTCTCAGCAAAGGTTTCTGCCACCTGAGAATCGACTGAAGTGCCGAGCAGGGCTCTGTTATTTCCCAAAACAACACACCTCCGCCCCGCAGTGCAGTTCTGCCTAAAATGGTGGGTGTCTGAACGCAGGGCCACCCCTCATGGCTGTCTTGCTTGGATAGGGAACCTGTGTGCATGCTGGTTATTTTGGTTTTTGGTCTTTTGGAGTTTTTTTTGAGATGGAGTCTTGCTCTGTCACCAGGCTGGAGAGCAGCCAGCAGGCAAGAACAGTGGGGCAATCAGCTCACTTCAACCTCCGCCTCCTGGTTTCAAGCGATTCTCCTTCCCCAGCCTCTCGAGTATCTGGGACTACAGGCAAGTGCCACCAGGCCAGCTGATTTTTGTATTTTTAGTAGAGACGGGGTTTCACCATGTTGGCCAGGATGTTCTCGATCTCGACCTCATGACCCGCCCGCCTTGGCCTCCCAAAGTGCTGGGATTACAGGCGTGAGCCACCTCGCTGGCTTTTTTTTTTTTTTTTTTTTGAGACAGAGTTTTGCTCTTGTTGCCCAGGCTGGAGTGCAATGGCACGATCTCGTCTCACTGCAACCTGTGCCTCCTGAGTTCAAGCAGTTCTCCTGTCTCAGTCTCCCGGATAGCTGGGATTACAGGTGCATACCACTAACCCCAGCTAATTTTTATATTTTTAGTAGAGACGGTTTTATCATATTGGCAGCCTGGTCTCAAACTCCTGACCTCAGGTGATCCAGCTGCCTTGGCCTCCCATAGTGCTGGGAGTACAGGCGTGAGCCACTGCCCCCAGCCTGCATGCTGGTTTTGAAGGACCATTTGTTTCTCAGGATCGTGCTAGCTGGCATGATTTTGCTGATGGCTGGCTCCGCCAGCAGACAGTCGAGAGTGAGGTTAGCTCGCTGCTTCGGAACCTCCGTTTTAACAAGTGCTGGTATAACGCCAGTTACTGAAATGCTTCCTACTCCTATCTTGCTGTGTACTACAAGAGTTTTATTTTTATCAGATGCATTTTTCAGTCCAGGCGTAACTCCCTTTGCTTCCCCTGGGTCTGATGGAAACCAGGCCCCAAGGAGGGAGATGGGAGAGACAGCCCCGCCGGGCACCTGGCCTCTACAGAGACCTGTCCAGGGGTGGGGGTCAGGAAATGGACTGTTCTCCTAATTTATTTCAAACCAGGAGCCCTGGCTGTATGCATTCTGCCTTACCCCTGCCTCTCCATATTTCTGAATATTCTTTTCATGAGCTGGCAGGGACCTTGTAAATAGTTGAGCTGACCAAGGGCTTTCCTCCTCACAATGTGGTTCAGTTGTTTGAGAGCCGCTAAACACTGCATGCTGAGGAAACACCATCGTTTTTCACACAGGAGCTAGATAAGCTTTGTTCCCTTTACACTGCATTTTTTAAAAAGTTTTCTATCAAAACACATAATCGAAGTTTTCTAAAAGATAAAACTGCATGTCACAGATTAATCTCAACATTATGTTGAGTAAAGGACGCCAAACACTGAAGGCCACACATCATATTTGAAACGTCCAGGGAAGGAAAACTACAGAGACAGCAGATGGGTTGTTGCCTAAGGGGTGACGGCACGCCCTCACCACAAACGGGGAAGTGCCACTCCCCTTCCAGGGACAACGAGAGGAGCCCTGCTCTGTCAATGCTCTGAAGGTGCTCCGAGTGCTGGCAGAAGCCAGCAGCCTCCTTTGCTGAGGAGCTGGTGCTTGTCCAAACGCAGAAGGAAGCTGACACCTCCCACGTGGGGGACAGAAGGGTCCTCTCATTGGTGCCACCTGCAGAGACAGACAACGCCTGGCCATCAGAGGACGCTCCGACAGCGACACAATGACCACTATAAAAGTCAGGCGGGCCACGGAAGGCAGCAGCAGGCCAGGAGACTCCGCAGCTGTAGGGTAAGAGGAGCTGGCTCCTGAGATGGAGAAATTCAAGGCTGCGATGTTGCTGGGGAGCGTTGGTGATGCGCTTGGCTACAGAAATGTCTGCCAGGAGAACAGCGCTGCAGGCATGAAGATTCAGGAGGAGCTACACCGTTCCGGGGGCCTGGACCACCTTGTACTCTCGCCAGGAGAATGGCCTGTGAGTGACAACACCATCATGCACATGGCGACCGCCCAGGCCCTCACCACAGGTAGGACTGGGCCCCGCGGCACACTGCTGGCGGGCGGAGGGCGGAGGGAACGCTGTGGCTGCTCACGTTCCCAGTAACCCCCCGGGAGTTTTGAAGGCAGCGTGGTCCTTCAGCCGATAGTGTTACCCGATGCCGCTGCTAAAAGTGGCAATTTAATAGACACCAGTGTCCCTCAGATTTGATATGTGGCAGATCATGTTTCTCCTGTGGTTTCTTGGGGTGACAGCATTACTTTACTTTGCAGGTTACTAAGATTCAATTTTTAAATGCGACTTTTCACTTGTATTTGTAAAGCATTGACTAAGCCTATCGTTGCTAATAGCGTTAAAGCCAATTAAGCCTCTCTCAGCCACGGTGGTGGGAGTGAGCTGAGGGCTCACTTCTGCAGAGATCAAGGCTTTTTGTTCCGAATTCATTACAAGGGATATAAAATAAGCCAGTTTGAAATGTGGACCCATTAATACTGTTTGGGGATTAGTTCTAAATTCCAGTGAATTAAGGTTAGAATATCATCTCCCAGAATGGTTCAGCTTGAAGAGTTGCCCATACACAATGTGTCCTAAGAAAATGACGTAAACTTGATTGGACGAGATTGGAGACAAAGCTTAAAATATCTTTAAGTAGCAGATTGATCTTAGGATCAAGCTTTTGCATGAGTTTCAGGGAAACGGCAGGTACGTAGACACACAGCCCAACTTCCCTACAAGCTGTTCAAAGCCCCGTGGGTGCTGTTTATCATGACAGAATTCAAATCTGAGGGCTACGGCTAGGTCAATGAAATTTCACTTATGCGTCCACCCCACCATTCCGTTCGTCTGCTGTGGACGCGCCCAGTTTAGTTCTGTGCTCACGGCGGAGGAATGTCATCGAGCCTGTGGCTGGTCCCTAAATAACGGCAGAGCTGAAGTGCCGGTGATAAGATAAGGCTCCCCGGCTTGCTGGAGACCAGGAGGTGTCGAAGAGCTCCTGCTTCTGCTTTTCCAGCCGGCCTCTCGTGTGCCCTTAGGACCAGCGGCCCCACGCTCTGTCCCCGTAGCCCAGAGCAGACGCACCCCACACAGACGCCCATGGGAGAGCAAGCGCTCGGAACAAGGCTGCGGCCTGTTTTCACCTTAGACAGTGGGTGCTCACTCTTGAGCTTGGCTTCCTCTGGGCGTCTGATGCCGTGTGTGCACTCATACCAGCTCCACGTGTCCCGTCTCTGCTGGCACTTGGTGGGCATTTTGTGAATGGCAGCGTCTGCGGCTGTGGGCCTGGTCCTGCTGGGTCCACAGGGAGGGCAGCGGCACAGGACACTCCACAAACACGCCCATGGAGGTCGGCCCAACAGGACACGAAATTCACACAGTGAAAAGGGTTATAGATGTTCTGGCGCTGTTTTTAAGGAGGAAAGTAAGTTTGCTCCAAGCTTTCACAGTCCTCAGCTGTGGACAAGGAGGAGGGTGCACTGTGCTGCTGCAGCATCTAGTTTATGGGTCATGAAAAGCCTCCAGGATCACCCCTGGAATCACTTACCCCTCTAGAAACCAAAGCAAGCATGTTTTTTTCAACTCACTAAAAATCAGTTCAAATGTCTCTTAACTTCAGCTTTTTTCTTTAAATAACAAATTGTAGCCTATGGAGGGGGGCTTTGGGCTGTGTTAACAATGGTGAGGGCTGGGCACAGTGGCTCGTGTCTGCAGTCCCAGCACTGTGGGAGGCCAAGAGTTCGGGACCAGTGTGGGAAACACAGCAAGACTCCCTCTCTACAAAGCAAAACAGCAATGGTGAGCGCTGAGTCCACAGCACTTCCATACTAGCCACTGTTCCAGCTGCTCATGCACGCTACCACACACGCTCCTGACGTCACCGCAAGGCTGATTTTATCAGTCTCACAGAGGAAGGAACTGATGTTCAGAGAGGTTCAGGCACTTGCCCAGTGCCACACAGCCCAGTGAGTGGCAGGCTTGGACGGGAACCATACGGTCTGGCCCCCATGCTCGTAAGCACCCTCCCTGACTACTGAGATCATGGTGGCCTGCAGGTATCGTAACAGTTGGAGTGTGCATTAGCTCTTCAACATGTTTTCCAAAGACAGGCCAACTTTGACAAATGGAACTACATTTGGCATCTTTAAGTAAACTGCGCTGTAAGTCCTTCACCTCGCGAGCCATGGGGCTGTGTGGCCTGGCAAGCCCTGGCTTTGCTGCTAGAGTTAGCATAGGTCAGAGGGGCAGATGCAGCCCCTGTGGCTTCCTGCTTCCATGCGGCATCCGTTGCCATGAGTGGCAAGTCCGTGTTGCCAGCGCATTATCACCGACTCACTCGGCAGGCAGCTAGCAGGTGTGTGTGGGCGCCAGGCCTGTGGAGGGGAAGCATCTCGCAGGTGTGTGTGTGCCAGGCCTGCTCGACCATCGCCCAGAAATGCAGCTGGCCATTCCCAGCTCCCCACCCCTGCTCCCTGGGAAAACTGGAGCTGTCACTTCCCTCCCAGGGCCTTCCTCCACACAGGGTTACAAAGAATTAAATGGAGCAGCCAGCAAAGTATGAGGAAGCGCCTAGGTTCACATTGGAAGGTGGTGCAGGCCAGTGTGGCTGAAGGCACATCTGATGCGTCTCTGCCCTGAGGCTCACTCAGCAGCCCCAGCTTTAGGGCCCAGCACGCACAGCAGGAAGTGTCGCCTGGCCATGGCCTCCGGGGCACGCAGCCAGCGCCTATCTCGCCCGTGGGCCCTGAGAACGAAGAGTGGCAGTTTGGCTTATGGTGGAAAACGTTTGGAAACACTTGACATTTTGCTACAAGCTCACTGGACGTTGGTATTTTGCCTTTTCTTTATTGAGACGTTAGTTGGGAGACTCAGGCAGCTTTTCTTTTTCTTTTTTTTTGAGATGGAGTTTCATTTTTGTTGCCCAGGCTAGATTGCAGTGGCACCATCTCGGCTCACCGCAACCTCCACCTCCTGGGTTCAAGCAATTCTGCCTTAGCCTCTTGAGTAGCTGGGATTACAGGTGCATGCCACTACGCCCAGCTAATTTTTGTATTTTTAGTGGAGATGGGGTTTCCCCATGTTGGCCAGGCTGGTGTTGAACTCCTGACCTCAGATGATCCACCCACCTCAGCCTCCCAAAGTGCTGGGATTGCAGGCGTGAGGCACCGTGCCCAGCCTCAGACAGCTTTATAAACTGATTTGTCTTTCAGGAGACCAGACAGGGAAGACGGGAGGCAGGAGTTGAATGTCCCAAAGGAAAGAGACCCAGAGAGAAGCCCAAGACTAGCAGCTTTGAAAATCTGTTTGTAGCTTAAACTCTAACCTGAAAAGACAATGCTTTTTGTTGCCATTTTATTTTATGGACTTCTTTTTGCTTTAAAAAGGCAAATTTCAGTTAAATACAGACATTTCTTATCTAATTCCAGAATAAAATGAATCCTTTTAGGGGACACAGGAAGGGCTAGGCTTGCTAACCCAGGACAGAGCTGAGAAAGGCTATTTGTGGACCGACCATGCCCAGCCTGAACAAAGCCATGCAGCTCTACCCCCACCCAGGGGCTTTGTGTGCAGGAAAAGGTGACTAATTCCTGCAGGAATGTAGCTTCACATCTCTCCCATGAGACGGCCAGACTTGTGTCTCCCAAGCCATGGTCTTACCACATTCTCTCTCCTCCTGACTCGAATTGGGGCAATGAACATGGGCATGCAGGTAAAACAATACTGTGCATGTAGACAACACAATGCGTGTAGACAACATATGTGTAGACCACACATGATTGCCATGTACGTGCAACACCATGCACACACACCATGCACACACATCCCATGCACACACAACACCATGAACACACAACACCATGCACACATGCCATGCACACACATCCCATGCACACACACCATGCAGATACACCTTGAACGCACAACACCATGCACACCATGCACACAAAACGCACACACATCACACACACATCACACACACACATCACCATGTACACAACATGCACACACATTGCACACACACCACGCACACACACCACGTACACACACCACACACACACATCCCATGCACACACCATGCACACACAACACATGCACAACATGAACACACCATGCACATACACCTTGCACACACCTTGCACATACATCATACACACACAACACACACATCACACACACAACACACACGCAACACCACACGCACACACATCACCATGCGCACACACCACGCACACACCACGCCCACACATAACCATGCACACATAACACCATGAACATACATCACCATGCTTGTAGGCAATACTGTGCATGTAGACTCCAAGCATGTACACAACACAGTGCATGTGGATAATACTGTGCACATAAGATAACACCATGCATGTCGACAACACTGGGAGTGCAGACAGCAGCATGAGTGTAGATAACACCATGAGTGCGGACAGCAGCATGTGCGTAGACGACACTGTGAGTGTGGACAGTAGCATGCATGTAGACATGGGGAGTGCAGACAGCAGCACACGTGTAGATGACACTGTGAGTGTGGACGTGAGTGCAGACAGCAGCATGTGTGTAGACAACACCAGAAGTGCAGGCAGCAGCACGCGTGTAGATGACACCGTGAGTGTGGACAGCAACATGCGTGTAGACAGCGCTGTGCCCCATGACAGCATTGTGCCTGTAGGGCAACACCGTGCACACTGGACAACACCATGTGTGTAGACAGCACTGTGTACATAGCACAATATCATGTATATCGACAATACTGCACAGGCCAGCCAGCCACGCCTCCCAGGACTGCCCCTCGCTCTCCAGAGGCCTCTGCTGGGCTGGGTGGGGGAACTGGCTGGTAGGAGGACACGACATGCAGTCCTTGTCCTCAGCCTTCTCCGGGGTTTGCAGCTGCAGGGCCCCGAGCGCTGTCTCCGGGGTTTTGTCCTGTGCGCTCTCTCCGGGGGTGTTTGTCCTGCGCGCATTGAGCACTCTCTCCGGGGTTTATCCTGCCTGCTCTGTCAGGGGGTTTGTCCTGAGTGCTCTCCCCAGGGGTTTTTCCTGTGCGCTCTCTCTGGGGGTTTGCAGCCACAGGTCCCTGCTCCTGGGCTCTCTTCCTGGAGGGTTTGCAGCCACAGAGCCCTGAGCGCTCTCTCCAGGGGTTTGCAGCTGTAGGGCTGAGGTTTCAAGTCCTGGAGGAGGAAGTGACTTTGCCAAGTGCCCTTCCTAATCTCTCGAACCCATCCGCGCTAGGACATCTGGCTCTGATGCGGCTGAGGAAGGCTCCAGCTACCAGCAGGAACGTCTTTTGCTTCCAAGTGCCATTTCTGCCACATGGAGAGTGGGCCAGGCCTCTGTCTCCCCCTCCCTCTCCCCGCTCATGCCCACCCCTACCCTCCCCAAAGGTGGGGGATCCATCACCAAGAAAAAGTGAGCAGTGGGGTCTCCCAGGCCGACCCACAAGCCCGGAGCGGAGCACAGCTTTAGTGTAGAATGATAACAAGCTGCTGGCTGTTAAAGTGGCCGTCGGGAGGGGCGCCCTCACTGGCCTGCCACAGCCTGTCCTGGCGTGGCTGGGCACCCAGGCTCTGATTTTACAGGCTGTGTGGACTGCATCCACACACTGCGGGTTAGTTAATCACAGAAGTACTCGGGCCTTGCAAGCAAACACATTTGCCAGCTCTGGCCTTGGGCAAGACACATAAGCTCACTGAGCCTTATCAGGGAAAATGGCAAATAAGAACCAGCCCTTGCTGAGGAAGGATGTCTGGGCTCCCAGGTGCGACGCTGGGCACACGGTAGGTATCTGGTGTGTCCAGCTCCTTCACCCTCGTGCCCCAGGGTCTTTCAGGGCCTCCAGCCCACCTTTGTTTCCAGAACACCGCTCATGGGGCTGGGGATGCCGCTTGGTGGCAGCTGTCCCTGTGGCACCCAGGTTTCCTGCAAGAGAAGAAGGAGCCAGAGCTGGGCTCGTCAGCCTCCACCGTCTGCATTACAAGCTCGTGGCATAGGCTGGTTTCGGTTCTGTTTGTTGCCACATGGATGGAACCATTAGAAAGTGAGCACAGTGGGTCTTGTCTAGATTCTCACGTGTAACTAGAATAAGAAGTTCAACGACAAACTAGAATGCCCGAAATCGGAATGAAATCTCCAGTGAATTGTTTGCGTGTTAAACTTCCCTCACAGCCAAGGCTGTGTAGGACAGATCCCCAAACCTTTCTCCACCTCCCTGAAGACACTGGTCTGCCTCTTCCCTTGCCACAAGCTCAGTGGGGCTGTGGCCTTGGGTGTTGAGCCCTGGAGAGCCTGCCCAACCCCATGGGAGGGAGGCCAGAGCTCACGCCACAGCTCACTCTGATGTCTGCCTACCCTTTCTTCCCCAGACTACTGGTGCCTGGATGATCTGTACCGGGAGATGGTGAGGTGCTATGTGGAAATTGTCGAGAAGCTTCCAGAACGTCGGCCAGACCCAGCTACCATTGAAGGCTGCGCTCAGCTGAAGCCCAATAACTACCTCCTCGCCTGGCACACACCGTTCAACGAAAAGGGTCAGGGAAATCCTCTCCTCTCCCCCAGTCCCACACTGCTGGGGCCCCTGTGCTCCCTACTAACCCCGGCATCTCCAGGTGGCTTCAGTGAGGCCAGATCTGCCTAGAGTCCCTTTGATGGGAGGGGGCCCCTCCCGGTCAGCCTGGCCAGTGGGGGCATCTCCTTAGGAACACCCGTCCACGTGGCACTGGGCTTCCCCATGGGGCTTTATTTATTATTATTTTTTGAAACTTTCGCTCTTGTCGCCCAGGCTGGAGTGCAGTGGCACAATCTTGGCTCACTGCAACCTCTGCCTCCTGGGTTCAAGCGATTCTTCTGCCTCAGCCTCCCTAGTAGCTGGGACTACAGGCATGTGCTACCACGCCCAGCTAATTTTTGTCTCTTTTTTTAGTAGAGACAGGGTTTCACCATGTTAGCCAGGATAGTCTCGATCTCTTGACTTTGTGATCTGCCCGCCTCAGCCTTCCAAAGTACTGGGATTACAAGCGTGAGCCACCATGCCCGGCCTCCCCACGGGGTTTTTGTCAACCACTGCTGGTTTATTTTGAGAGATATTTCCCACTGTTTTCCCTTCATGTTGGTCTTTTCTGTTATAACATCAATGAGAGCTTGTGTGGTCTGCATGAATGTCTCTAAAACACTTTGATGTGTTTCTGGTGAAGCCGTATTTAGGTGGCCCCAGTGTCTGCCTCTGAAGAGCCTCTGCTCATCTCGTCCTGGCCCGAGTCCGCCATGCTTATCCACAAAGCATGGGTGGTGGCTGACTTGCTGTGTTAGTACCACGGTGATCAGCCCCACTTCCTGTATAATCTCTCCCCAAAAAGCTCTTTCAGGCTGGAGAACGTAGACTCGGTAGACAGAAAAGGAAAGCCCAGAGGCTAGAGGGGTTTCTGTGAAATGGCACGTGTTCTCCGACAGAGCAGCAGAGACACAGGTATCCCCAGAAAGCCATGACGAGAGGGTAAGACCTGGTGAGCTGCTCTGGCAGCCCTATTCCCAAGAGGAACATGCTCTGGGCATGTGGAAGGGGCAGTCTGAGCAGAAGTAGATCACCAGCCACAAAAGCCTCGGGGCTGGCTCTTCGGTGGTGCAGATAGTGCACAGCCTCCTGTAGGTGCACAGCTTCCTGAAGGTACACGGCTTCCTGAAGGTACACGGCTTCCTGAAGGTACACGGCTTCCTGAAGGTACATGGCTTCCTGCTGGACAAGGGTAAAGACAGGGTGACCTCTCAAGAGGGAAATCTGGCATTGCCCATCAAAATGATTTAATGAACACACTTTTTGATCTGGTACTTCTACTTCCAGAAATTCTAAAGACCCGTGATGACGATATACAAAAGCAAGTGAGCAAAGATACGTGTACAAGGATGCTCTTTGCATCATCATTTGCATTAACAAAACCTGGAAACAGCCTAGTGTCCCTCTGTAGGAGAATGGTGAAATTGATTGCAGCACATCCATATGATGGAATACTATGCAGCCACTAAAAAGAGTGAAGCGGATCTATGTGTACTGAGACATGGGGCAACCTCTGCCACAGATGAGTGAAGAAAGCAACATGAAAACCAGTGTGTCTGGTTCATCCCAGCTGCGTTTGTTACTGAATTTTAAATGTTGTTTATATATCTTGGATACAAATCCTTTGTCAACTCTATGTATTATAAATATTTCCTCTCACTCTATCCCTTGCCTTTTTGTTTTCGTAATGATATCTATTGAAAAGCAAACTTTAATTTTTTTCTTTTGAGATGGAGTCTTGCTTAGTTGCTCAGGCTGGAGTGCAGTGGTGCAATCTTGGCTCACCGCAACCTCCACCTCCTGGGTTCAAGCAATTCTCCTGCCTCAGCCTCCTGAGTAGCTAGGATTACAGATGCCCGCCACCATGCAAGCTAATTTTATATTTTAGTAAGGACAGGGTTTCACCATGTTGGTCAAGCTAGTCTCAAACTCCTGATCTCACGTGATCTATCCTCCGTGGCCTCCCAAAATGCTGGCATTACAGGAGTGAGCCACTACGCCTGGCCAAGTTTTTTTTTTTTTAATTATGTATTTTTATTTTTTGTAGACAGGATTTCACTCTGTCACCCAGGCTGGAGTGCAGTGGCATAGTCATGGCTCACTGCAGCCTTGACCTCCCAGACTCAAACAATCCTCCCACCACAGCCTCGTGAGTGGCTGGGACCACAGGTGCACACCACCATGCCCAGTTAATATTTTGATATTTTTTGTAGAGATGGGGTTTCACCATGTTGCCAAGGCTGGTCTTGAACTCCTGAGCTCAAGCAATCTGCCCACCTCAGCCTCCCAAGGGCTGGAATTAGAGGCATGAGCCACCACACCCAGCCAAGACTTAAATCCTAAAAGCAAAACCTGGAAGGATCAAGCTGTTTTCAAGTAAATTAACTGTATCCAAAGACAAGGGTCAAAAATAGTTATAGGAGTATAAAAATATCCTGGATGCAACAGCATATGAAGCATGCAAAGGATCAGGAGCATCCAGTTCATGAGAAGGAAAATAAATCCAGACTGACAAAGACCCAACATAGACGTCAGAATCTGCAGACAAGGACATAAAATGCTAGATATTCTATGTGTTCAAAAAGTTAAGTAGAAACATGAATGGCATTTTAAAAAAGACCCAATTCACATTTCTAGAAGTAAAAACTATAATGTCTGAGTTTTAAAATACACTGGCTGGATCAATAGCAGATTAGGCATTTCTGAGAAAATGTTAATGAACTTGCAGGCAAAGCAGCAGAAATTATCCAAAGTGAGACACACAAAGAAAAAGAATCCAAGGTATGAAAGGAGCATTAGCGACCCGTGGGTGACCTAAGGCAGCCTGGCGTGCATGTATCCTCAACACAGAGGAAACAAAACAACACAAATCCTTGAAGAAATAATCGTCAAAACGTTTCCAAATTTGATGAAAACTGTAAACCCACAGATACAAGAAAATCAATTCCAAGACAAGAAACATGAAAAAAATGACACCAAGGCACACAGTAATTAGATTGCTCTAAAGTAATACGAAAGAAAAGTCTTAAAAGCAGGACACACGTCACGTACAGAGAAACGGCAGTGATGATGACAGCAGATGTCTTGGCAGAGCAACGCGAGTGAGAAGACAGTGGAGCCACATCATCAAGGTACTGAAAAGAAACAAGAAACACTTTAACCAGCATTCTTTTTGGGGGTGGTGCAGTGCCTTGCTCTGTCACCTGGGCTGGAGTGCAGTGGCACTGTCACGCCTCACTGCAGCATCAGCCTCCTGGGCTCAAGCAGTCCACGTGCCTCAGCCTCCCACATAGCTGGGACA